GAGATTCCAATCAGGAGGGACCTGTTGTCCCAGGTAGAGGGCACGATTTTTCACCCTCGGCCGGAGTTGTGGAAACTGTGGGCCTGGCCTCTGAGGGGGCCAGGCTCATAGAATCCGGTCTCTCGACTGAGGTCGTTGAGACCATTCTCCATTCCAGAGCCCCTTCCACGAGAAGATTGTATGCGCTGAAATGGAAATTATTCTCCACCTGGTGTGGTGAGCGTCAGTTAGATCCTGTTAACTGCCCTGTTGGTCCAGTTCTCGATTTTCTGCAAGACCGTTTCTCTGCTGGGTTATCTCCTTCCACTTTAAAAGTTTATGTGGCGGCTATATCGGCCTATCATACCCCTCTGGGGGGTACTTCTATTGGGAGAGATCCTCTGATTATTCGTTTTCTCCGTGGTACATTGAGGTTGAGACCTGCACTGCACTCTAGAGCACCGGCTTGGGATTTAGCCATTGTACTTGAGGGTCTGGCTCTGGCTCCCTTCGAGCCTATTGAAGAGGTTTCAGAAAAATTCCTCACTTTGAAAGCTTTGTTTCTCCTTGCTATTTCGTCTATCAAGAGAATTGGAGATTTGCATGCCCTGTCGGTTGCTCCTTCATGCCTGGAATTTGCACCTGGTATGGTGAAAGCATTTCTATACCCTAGACCGGGTTATATGCCTAAGGTCCCAGTTAATGTTGGGGGCCCAATAGTGTTGCAGGCCTTTTATCCTCCACCTTTTAATACCCCAGATCAGGAACAACTGAACCTGTTATGTCCAGTTCGGGCATTGGATGCCTACGTTCACAGAGCTGCCCTGTGGCGTAAGTCAGAGCAATTATTTGTATGTTTTGGGTCACTCAGAAGAGGGTGCCCTGCATCGAAACAGGTTATGAGCAAGTGGATAGTCGAGGCTATATCATTGGCTTATGAAGCGGCCGGTCAGCCTTCACCTATGGCTGTACGGGCCCATTCTACAAGGAGTATGGCGGCCTCTACGGCCTTAATTTCGGGTGTTTCCCTTCTTGACATTTGTAATGCGGCAGGATGGTCCTCTCCGCATACATTTGTCAGGTTTTATGACCTTGACCTCTCCACTCCTGGGGCGAGGTTGCTTGCTTCTTAGTGTGCGCCAAGGACTTCACACAGAACGGGCATTTGTCACTATGGCGTAGTGGGTATGGGGTTCCCACCGCGTCTCAAACGCAGCTCGAAGTTCCCTTGAAAGGGAACGTCTCAGGTTACGTATGTAACCCTGGTTCCCTGAGAGGGAACGAGACGCTGCGTTTGCCTGCCATACTTCCTGCATACCCTGATCGACTTACTTCAGACTTTTCAGAAGCTGTCGCGGTCTGTTTTCAAGGGTGCTTTATAGTTTCCTGGTCTATGACGTCACCTATGACGTATCGGGCTTCCATTGGACTGATTTTACACGTGCTTCATGACGCAATCACGCAGAGCGTTCCCACCGCGTCTCAAACGCAGCGTCTCGTTCCCTCTCAGGGAACCAGGGTTACATACGTAACCTGAGACGTTTTTTATATGTATTGTTGAAGGTTAACAATGTTTGCAAGATGAATGAGTTTAAATGATCTCCTTGATACATTCTTTGCATTATGAGACTTTTTGATGTTGTGATGGGAATGACGTTTTTCAGTGCCAGTTGGCAAATAGATATAAAATACTCAAATTATATTTAAGCTCAGTCGTGGCCATTATTATATCTTTACATCAAAGCATGTAAACATTGCCTTGACATAATTCCAACAAAATTCAACCAGATTTCATTCATCAAAATGTAAGATGGCAAAATAGCCCCCAATTGAAGAATCACCCATATATATATATATATATATATATATATAGGCTATAGGCTATATAGGCTATATAGGCAAAAACAGGAAATACCATTTTGACCGATCATTTTCCCTGGCCGAAATTTCAGTGGATCCCTAATTATTATGGTAATAATAATAATAATAATAATATATATATATATATATATATATATATGCTTTTTTCTTTAATTTTTATAATATATTAGTAATAATAATATAAAAATAACAATATTAATATTTATCTTTATTATTGTTGTTGTATAATCATATTCTATGGGTTCCATTAGAAAAGTGGCCTGAGAAATTGAGATTGTTTAAACAACAACAACAACAAAACCTATAGACCTTATGCACCAGAGAAACGAGGGCGCCGCCATCTTTAGAATATGGTCTTTGAACTTCCGTTTTTGCGGTCGCTCTGTATATTTCTATGGCATCGCTGTCCAGGAGTAATTAGCTAGTGAAGTTGATTTACTTATTGTAGAGTTAACGAAAGTTATCATGAGCATTGTAATGTTTATGATAAGCATTGTAAAGCATATGTCTTAAAGGGGTCATATAATGCCATTTTTGTACAAGCTAATATGATTCTTTAGGGTCTAAATTAACAGTTTGTAATATACTTTAATTGAAAATTCTCATTAGTATTGTAAGAAAACACTTATTTTACTTGGTCAAAAACAGCTCTGTTTTCAGCACGCCGTTTCAGTGCATATGACTTTAAATGCTCACCCCGCCTCTCTGTTCTGTGTGTACACCATTTGTAACACAATAACACAATAACCATAACGCGTTGTTCAGTATAAACGTGGGATTATGAATTATATTGAGAACATCATACATAGAAAACATGCCGTAATGTACCCTAAGTGTAAACCTTAGACGCATTCATTGTGAAGCGTGCAGCTAGCGATTTGCAAAGATTAATATAAAGTTTAATAAAACGTTACACTCACTTCAGTTGTTCTAGAGGTTCAGCAGGAACACGAATAGCTGGTACCGATCCTTTTTTCATGAGCAGCTTCTTAGCAAAACCAGCTCATACTGACTCTCGTTTATAAAGCAGTCTGCTGAGAAATGATTCGCGCAAACATGAAAGCATTGACGTTGCTTGTGGGGAATATTCCCTTCGAAAACAAACTCAGCCACTGCGTCTTCAGCGGTTCGGATTTATGAACATTAAAATGACTGCTGTGTTCGTTATTACACCCAAGAACAGAACACCACAATCGCTTAGACGCCATTCTGCTCATAGACAGTGCTCCAGCATATCAACAATGACCGCGCCGGTCCGCGCAGACTATGATTGACAGCTCGCTCACGAGTGAGGGCGGGTCTGTGTTGAAACGATGCTGTCAATCAACAATCGTGGGAGGGGCTTCCGAGCGTGTGACGTCACAAAATCGAACGGCTCAATTTGAGGCAGGAGAAAACATATAAGGAGATTAAAACAAAAACACTGGATGAATTTTTATCATTTTATGATGGTTGTGTACAGGCACTGCCAACACACATTTCAGTACAATCAACTTGTAAAAGTGCATGTACCATTATATGACCCCTTTAACAAATGGACCTTGGGAATTTTTTAAACGAGCCGTTCATTCATAACTACGCAAGATCGCTGTGCAAATACAGACCGGAAGTCAAAAGACAATGAGCTCAGCGCGGAAAAGGGGCATGGCTACATAAGGTCTATAGAGTCTTTGGTGATTTTTTCACTATATCCTCATTTTAAAGCTCTAGGGGTCACATCTTTTGCATCTCTAATGAGTTTGCATCCTTGACTGATAATGCATCATATTTGATTTGAGACCCACGGTGTAGATGAAGATTATAAGTGAATACTGACTTACATTTCTGTTCATCATACAAACCTTGAATGGCTTCAGAAGTTTTATGGTACTTTTAGTTATTTTCAGATGTTGATAGCCCTATAAAAAATTCTCAGTTTACGCATGTAACCCGGTTCCCTAAGAGGGGAACGAGATGCCACTCGAAAGGGAATCTCAGTTTTAAAAATACCAGAATACAGGTTTTGAACAACATGAGAGTGAGGGAATAATCAAATAATATTTTTTATTGTTATAATTAATATTCTGATTCTGATATTGTTTGGGGTTGGAATATTCCTTTCAAAGGAACTTTATTCACATATTCCTGAAGATATTGGCCAAACACCATCATGCAAAATCATCCATAACACATCAGACATAGGTGAGACCCACAAAGCAATGTACAAACTGAAGGTCATGTGTTCATTTGCCGTAGGATTTTCTCTGCAGAACACAGAGCCAGTCACATGCGGTGCTGACATTTCACTTCCTAAACGGTTCCCCTAGAATCCGATGCATGTCTGTGGGGCTGGCAGACACCCCCTACACGTGGAGCAGGTTCCCATTGTGAAATCAACAGGACTTTGTGTTTCACAGAGCATGTTAAAACACTGACGTGAGAAGACTGAGGTATATTTCACAGCTAAAATGTTAACACAAGCTCAGAGGCATCCAGAGGAATATCAGCATGTTAATTCAGCCCTAATAGAGAACAAATCTGAAGGAGATAGGAGCGAAAAAGTGGTATTATAGAAGCATTGCTGTTGTAATGAAGATTAAATTGAACAGGGACAAATTTGCGAGGGCAACATTTAAAATGGCAGCTGCTGAGAGGATGCTTCTGGTTATGAGAACGACAATATAAATGAATTACAGAAAGCATGTCTAGTACGTCTCCTGCGGAATTTAGTAATGGCTGAGCGGTATTGATGTTAGACTATCCTGCTTAGTCCTTGCGTTTTCTTTTTTTGGTTTCGCTTTCCGTCTTATTGTTTTATGACCCCAGCAGCTGCTGCGAGAGCAGTTTGGCTTGAGCAAAGAAGCTGTTTACGATCAGCACACTGTTGTCTGGGCAGACGTCAAAGTGCAGATTTATTTGGAGACCAAAAGCTCCATTAGTCGGAGTTTTTAATTAGCACACTTGTGTGAGAGGGTCATTAAGAATGATTTGCTGTTGTGATTGAGGGCTTGCTGATGGGCAAGACACAGACCCTGCTGAGTCTGCTTCTGACCCCAAACGCATAGATCTAGATGCGGCCAAAACAAAGCAGTGTTGACGAAAAAAAACACTCAGACTTTGCACTGGATCCAGTGCTACCCTGCCAAATGAGAAGCTCCTACCAGTTTCTGGGTGCTCCATCTCTCCGATGCTGCCATCAGGGGTGGTCCGTTCGTAGTGGTCCTCAGGCAGGGCGAGGGGGCCGATACGGGGTCCTGAAGAACTCTTGCTGCTGGGGGTCTCGGACTCCTCCAAGCCACTGTCATAGTAACTTTGCTGAGAGGAGTCGTGCTGATCTTGCACGGGATTGGCTGTGGAGAACGTCACTCTGCGATGCGGGAGCTGCAATCGAGAGGAAAGAGGGGCCTTCAGTCACACAACAATCTAATTATAACTTTAGGCCCCAAAACTAGGCTAATTGACCACTAAATTTGTAATATCACACTTCAGCAGACGGGCATTTTCAATATGTAATTTCCAGAGGGGCGGCTAATGAGGAAACGTTTTGTTCAAATTGAGGGGAAATGGTAAAGAGGGAATCACTTATTATTAGTATCTCTTGGCAGAGGGGGAAAGCAATATAATTCTCCTTTGATATCACTGCTTAGGTGACCACATTGGTTTTCACAAGGCCAATGAGGGCAAACACTCATGCTGAAATACAGAAGCGCAGAGCTCATAAAACAGTGGAAATCACAGAATCCTGCAGAAAAGCCTCCATTCCCAATTCCGTGTGAGCTCAAAGCTCGACAACTGCAGGGAGGGATCGATAGTGCCAGGCTGCACACACACGTACAAACACACGCACTCAGACTGGCAAACAGAACCATTTTAGAGTAGGAATTAGGGCCATTAAGAGAGCAATTTCAGTTCATATAAAAAGCCCATTAACACGGCCATTTAAAACATATAGAGAGGCCATTAAGGCTACGTACTTTACCATCCCAAAGTTGTGAGGCCTTCTAATTCAGCATGTTTATTTATAAGCTCATTCATCAATTTGTATGCACATTATTTTCTTGACTTCTCCCTAAAACTAATGTCCAAATTGTTTAGAAGTGCATTGCACATACAAATATTGTTAATCTGTACATTTGCATAGCAAGTCATGCAAGGCATTGCTCATTTACATTCATGATAGGGTTGCGCAATATATCCGCAGCACAATTAAAAAAATCCAACACCAAGAAGAAAACGACAGCATACTCTCCAAACAGTCACTGATGTTCACTTCAAGTATAGACAACTTTGTTAATAATAATGGGAGCAATTTTGTTTGGACGTGTTGCATTGAGCTGCGTGCATCAGTTGTAACTGTTGAATATGGGGATGGGTATCGAGAACCAGTTCCATTTTAGAACCGGTTCTGAATTTTCAAGAACCGCCCATTTCGATTCACTTATCGGTTCCTGTGTGTGCAAAACCATTCAAGCGCAAAAGTCTCACACACTTTTTTCTGTGCTCTGCACACATCCGAAACGTGCACACAGAAAAAGTGATTTTAATGTGATTTTAAACCATTCAAGTGCGAGACGACTCATGCACAGGAGGCGAGTTGTCTCGTGCTTGAATGGTTTAAAATCACTTTTTCTGTGAGCGCGCTTTGGATGTATGTGCAGCTCTTAAAGTGACAGCAGCCTAATGCTCCTGCTGCCGTCTCTATAAATACACTAATCAAACAACAAAAGAAAGAGAAAAATCACTCGTTCTTGACTTTTGTAACTATATTTGTAATGTACATTTTATTTATAAAGTGCAGGGTTTTTACATTTGATTCGTTTCTGAACCTGAATACCTGAACATTTTAAAACACTGTTTATTTCAATCGTATATTTGTTCAATTGTAATTGATCGATTGCTAATTTTTTATTTGTTCTTTTTTAATTACTGAGTGTTTACTTGTCTTTAATAATGCTTGACATTTATATTAGTTAGGCTAGTTGTTTTTGCTATGGTATTTTTAAACCATAGGCAAAAGTTTTTAGTTTTTAAAAGTTTTTAGTTCATTATATTCAGCAATAATTAAATATTATGCAATAAGACTTAAAATAAATATGAATTATATATATACGTTTTTTTTTTCCTTATTGGATTTGAAATTAGGAATCGATAAGAAACAGAATCGATAAAATTAAAACAACCAACACATTGAAAAGACCTTACCACCAATTTTTTATTAGTTGTTTAAAAATTTCAATGGTACAGGAAACGTTAGGCTGAACATAACCAGAACCGGTAAATTTCTTACGATTGCCAACCCTATATATATATTTATATATATAATATGCACACACAAACACACATTAATGTTGTATGTAACATATTAATGTCTTAGCATATATTATAATACATACAGTACTGTACATTTAGGGGTTGGATTTCCAGCAACATTAACTATATTGTGATATATACTGTATACTGTTACCATGATATACAATACTTGTACTGTGATACAAGATCTTGGTCATTCTGCCCATCCAAAATCTATTCACTTACACACATCCCCTCATTTCATCATACATACACTTCCACAGAACATTTGTACTTTGTGCTCACTCTTTACTCACGCTCATGTGAGTTGTAGGCCTGTTCTTCGTGTGCTCCCTTGTGCCCTGGTATTTACGGCTAGTGAGGCACTGAAGTGCGTAGACGAAAATTCTCACTGCACAGTAATTACATCGACTTCCTTAGCAAACTCAGACATGGACTCGCAGCATGAGTCCCTCTGTTGTCAAAGATTTCATTCAACGAGTGTGTGCGTGTGTGGAAGAGAGAAAGAGATACAAAGGAGAACCATGGGGTTTTTTGTCTTGGGGCAGAAACTTTTTAATGTATTTCCTTTTTTAATTTTCTTATTAATTTGTAGTCTTTGATGTGCAAGGGACTGCATGCACACCATTCTTTGGGTGGCACACGTTTTAGTCACTGTTTTATCTTTTGTAAAATGTGCTTATCGTGCTTTGTAGAAAATGCAAATAGAACTGCTTGATCACTGTAAAGGGATGTAGTGATTACAAGGCCACATGTAGTATGCAAATTGTAGTGTTTGATCTACAGTAAGGGACTTTGAAAAGAAAAATCCTCAAGTGCGGTTTTATTAGGGAAAGCGCATTATAATGGTTATGATATTTTAATTGCTAATATCATTGCCATCCCAGGTACCATCCTGGAATAATGGCATTCTCGGCGACTGGAATTGTACTTCAGACACGTTGCTATTTAAACCTAAGAGAGGGATTTAGTTATTTAAATATGGATTCTTGCTTAAACTGCTCCTACAGGCATTGCTCGCGAGTCAGCACTTTTATCCCCCCTTAGCACTGGAAGCTGCAGCTCTGCAGTTCTGCAGATGGGATGTAGTCTTAGCACCAAGTCCAGTCTCTCTCCCTCCAGGGGGAGCACTGCCGATCTGGGAGGGGGTTTGTTGTAGTGGGGGTCTCAGCAAAGCAGGACCAAGATAAAGGAACAGAGCATTGGCTCTCAATGTAAGAAGGCCAGTCTCCAATCCAGCTGGCTTGAGTTTTGCACTGATGCCTGGAATAAAGTGATCCCTGATTAGAATCGACCTGCATGGATTCTGATGACTGTGAATTGGATAACTGGAGTTTGGTACTTTGGAGAGAGGGTCTCATAATAGAGTGGATTGGGAGAAGATCTGGAGAGAGAATTTTAAGATTGTAGAGGGACCTGGAGTGGGCAGAGTCTTGGATTGGAGAGTGCCTTGGACTGGGCAGAGAATTTTGGACAGGACAGAGGGTCTTGGAGTGAAGATGGTCCTGGATTGGAGAGAGGGACTTGGACCAGGCAGAGAGTCTTGCTTTGGAGAGACAGCCTAGAACTAGGCAGGGAGTCTTGGATTGGAAAGGATTTTTGAATTAGAGAGAGAAGTTTGGAGCAGGCATACAGTCTTGCTTTGGAGAAAGAGGCGCAAGAACTAAGCAGGGAGCATTGGATTGGAGAGGGTCTTGGACTGGAGACTGTAACTGGAGAGGGTGAGTGCTAATCTGCTGTCTCAAGGACAGAAATTGAGAATTGTAAAAAAGGGTTACTGGGACTGGCTGCTAAACTGGACTTGAAACCAAAGAAAGGTTCAATTACCTTTCGCAAAAATGTCTCGACAAAGTAGAAAAGATAGACAACAAGGCCCTGAAGGAATTTAAATAAAAAAATAAAGAGAACGTGGACATGGGGGAAAATGGAATAATAAAAACATGCAAAACTGAATATAGACTGAAAATAGAATATAATCCCTGCACAAATATGACATCAAAATGAAGTCCGATGAACAGAGACAGGGGGAAAAAATGGCGTTTGCGGGGCTTGAGTGTTGTGCCTCTGAGCGGATAATGGAGTGGAGTGCCACCTGATATCTGTCTTTTCATCATGCCCAAGGTGTGGTTTGAGGTGAAATACTTCACAAATGTATAGCCGATACACAGGGTGGTTTAAGCTGCAGGCAGGGCGGCGAGGCTGAGCTTTTGCTACCAGTGATTCATTCAGCCTATTACTCCTGCATGCTGTCATACCAAATGGCGTGAACTATGAGATTTGTCATTAGAAGTGGCAGCTTGATCCCCTGTACTCTGCGTACGGCCAATGCAGGCTTTTACTGTGTCAGTGCTGCTGCAGCCTCAAACCCTGTACCAGTTTTAAACATTCTGCTTTAGGAGTGCGCCTTTCTAGGCAGGGAGGGAGATCTATCGAGGGAGAAGCTCTCATGTCTCTAACGCACAGAGGGGTTTGTATCTACCGAGCTTTGCTGGTGCAATTAGCCACTAGTGAATGCTAAACAGGTCTGACAATAGCTTTCTCCTGCCTTCTCTCATTTCAATCACCTACTCTTCTTCTTTTTCTTGGTTCATGTCTCGACTTTTTCCTCTTTTTCGCAACTACCCCCTCCATTCTGTTTCATTCTCCAACACATTTCCAGAGTGCCCTCTCCCCAACTCCACATTTCTCCCTCCCTGTGTCTCTTTGATAAGTCTGGACTCTTTGAAGACCCTCGTGTCACACTTCTTGCCTCCAAGCTATTGCACCTACAAAAAAAAGGAAAGTAACACAACTCTAAAAGATGGAAGAGGAAAGAGCCAAGGAGGTGAGAGTCGGATGGAAAATAAGAACGGATCCTTATGTGCCTAACACCCCCCCCCCCCCCCCCCCACACACACACCCAGCTCTCTGTGATTTTATGCTGGCTGCATCTCTTCCGAGGTGCACTCCTTCATTGTCATGTTTGTTTGCGCAGCTCATTTTTCCTCTGCTCTACATGCCTTCTGAAGCAGCGGCTCATTGATCCTCGCACACGCCTGCAGCCCTGCAGCCTGAACGCTCGCTCAGATCCC